CCGCTTTCTTAGCGGGAAATTTGGAAAAACTGCTCAGTTTTATATCATATACATAAAGCTAGTTCAGCATTATTTAACAAATTTATTTTTTATCTGTAACCATCCAAATTATGCCCGATGGACAGTCCAATATCATTACAATTTGTTTTAGAGGAGTTAGGGATTTAAAAAAAACCAAGACATTTCTGCAGAATTACAGTTGTCCAATATTTAAAAAAAAACTGCGACCAACTGGCAAAATTTGTTAATACTTTTGGCCAGTACGTTAATCCATTTAGTACGAACTTGTCTGCAAATAAATTGTTTAATATTGCGTCTGGAAAAGCTGCCACGCTAGAAATTGAAAATTTTCTTTTGAATGTTGAACAAATTGGCAATGATCAAAGACAAATATTTGTAGACGAATGTTCAGCAGTCGGTTTGAAAAAAGTATTAAAAAAACACCTATCCATAATTTTACTAGCCTCATAGAAAAAAGAAAAAAAGTTAAAATAGGCGGAAAAGATCAAGAGATTTGTTTGGACGTATGCTTGGAATTTCTATGAACCACAAAATGGATATTCTTAAAACGTTATCATATCCAATTACTTCTGTTCCTCTTTCTTTATGTAATTTAGACGGTGGAATCCGTGAGACCGATAAATCCGTTCTTGCCAAAAATCTGAAAGCCAAAATTAGCCATAATCCGCCACCTTATACTTAATCGATCGATTTTTTATACTACATTGTATGAAAGAAGTATCCAGAACATTTGGCAATATTTCTAAAAAAATTGTGCAAATGATTACCAAATATCCAGCAACAAGAATTGATGTAATTTTCGATAAATATTGGCATCCATCAATTAAAGACAATGAGCGATGTCTTCGTCATGAATCATCTCAGATTGATTTAAAAATTACTGGGCCTGATCAAATAAGACCGACAGACTTTATCAAAGAAATCAAAAATATAAAATTCAAAGAAGCTTTATTATACATTGGGCAAGTGATGAAATGGTACCGTTTATTAAAAATAAACTGATTCGTCCTTAATGTCCAATGTACCCGTATACAAAATTTTAACACGATCTGCCACTTTAAAAAAGTTATAGCGCGGACGGACGGACGGACGGACGACAATACAAAACTATAAAGGATCTGAGGATATTAATAATAGTAGGTAAGAGTAAATTCAAGAACATGATTCTAGGCATTTTGCCAATGATCTTGATACCAATTGGTGCATTAGTATTCATTACGGCAAACGATAACTCGTCGATGAGTTATCGTGGATGGACGTAGACTTGCATCTTTTTTATTAAGGTAATCCATGTTTTATCAGAGATAATAAATAAATTGTCTCATGACATTAGTTTTTGTTTTAGGGGCTGTGATTGCGATGAGCTTACTTTTATTGCCGGATAACTTTAATCAACGGCTCGTTCAATGAATTGGTTAATGTAATTATGTTTAATAATTTTTGATTTTTTTTGGTACACAGTCTTCGGACAGTCTCTTTGGGAACGCTTTCAATTTTGCATATTTTCTAATATCGACACCGATTTGAATGTTTAAACGTGAATTTTTCATGGTAACCATGATGACAGAGAACTTTTCTTTTTACTCAACATTTCGCAATATGCCATTAGTACGTTTCCCGAAATTATTTTGTGCGCACCACTCTTGAAACTTTGTTACTTTTCATATATCTTTTCTTTTATTTGTTAGGTAATAAATTTTCAAAACGTATATTTGTGTAAAACTTCAAATTTTGAATAAAGAAAGCAAATTACCAGTTCTACCAACCTAACCGTCAACATAACAAAATTGACAATTTTGCAATCCCTAATCGGTGTTGATACTTAAAATTCATTCTCTTATTTTAATGCAAAATAGAGAAAATAGTATAAGAAACACGTTTCATAAGACACTTTATCGCACTTGTCGCACTTTGACGCGTGCGATAAAGCCGTTTCTTATGAAACTGTTTTTTTTAATGTAGGTACCTACTATTTGGAGATTTAAACCATAAGACGAACTATACAAGGGCATTCAGTTCGCAACATGACAAGTGGTTGAAAGTAGTAGACATTGAATTTGCAATGGCAGGGAAGATCTCTAGCGGTCTTGTACAGATTTAAAAGTAAAACATTCGGAAAGCAGCTTTATTTCATGTTTTCAAATACAACCATAAAATGTTACATTTAATGTTGGTAGACGTGCACCTGCTCACATGAGAGGATGATGTCACCGCCCCTACATCCGTAACTACAATGGTCTCCAGATTCGCTTAAGAATTCTTCACCTTTGCCATTACAGTCGAATACTTTTTGTCTGCACGGAGATCGAATGTACTTTTCGAGGAACTTAACTGGATGCGCCTGTGCGCAAGATTCCTTTTGGCCATTGTGTAAGCAGGCATAATGGCATACTCCTTCTTCTTCATAGAAGTGTGGTTCTCCGTGGTCACCACAACTGAAGGGTGTATTTTTCGATGTCTTTGCATCACATTCAGTTTCAGCCTGAACGTAATAGAAGGTGCCAACTAGGCAAGCAGCGAGGATGATAGCAGTCTTCATTTTGCTAAAAGAACAGTAAGCAAAAATAGACATAAAAGACATGAAATTATCTTACCTAGAGCGGGACTAACACAAACATTTGGTCGTGCTGGTTCCTTATATAGGAATGTAAAGTGTGACCTCTTGACATAGTAACTTAATCAATATGATATGTGGTTTATTGAGAAATTTTACATGTCCAATTAACGGTAATTCCTTGTGATATAAGTACGTTAGGTGGCAACTGGGTATCATTGCATAACCCCCCTTTAATCGCTGTTGTGTAAGTGCTTAATATTTGATACCAAGTATGTGACAAATTAATGATAACCCGCATAATAATAGATATAATGAATAAACCCACACGAAACTATAAGGAAGGATCGTGAACATGCGATTGGTGCTCCCTGCGACCCAGATGGTTAAAACCCTCGAAGCCAAAAATCGTTTTTGCGATATCGTGTGAACGACCAGCTGATTGGGCAGACTTTTTGAAGTTATTGATAGCTGCTTTAGGAAGACAAAGAGTGTACGTGTACCTACAGGGTCGTGTAATTAACAACTTTAGAGAGCGTGGTTTACGAACGTGGTGACTTTTCAGTTTTTTCCCATCTTCTTCTACAGTTTTGGTCGATATTTTTCCACCTAGTGTCGTCGGAAATATCTTGTAGACGCGGACAACTTCTACGTAACGGAATTTTGTTTTTGATTTCCGACCATTTTCAAAGCGAGGGTAGTTGACGCCCACAACATATTTTCCACTGCCAATTTTTTTACGTGGTTTAAAATTTTCGCGGTCTCATTTTCTCGGGTCGCCAATAGAAGCTCGAGTTATGAGAAATATCCAATAATTGAGTACTATTTTGTGAAGGATTTTTAGCAAAATCCAGAAAAATGGCGCATTTATATGACTGTGAGGGCATCAGAAGTGGGCACCGACAAATGGAATGTGGCAACCCCGGAAAAGATCAGACTGATGGTGGAGTCAAAAGTTCAACTGCGATTTACAAGTAAACGGGGCGTCGGAAGTCGGTTCCGACAAAGGGAATTGGTAGCCTTCGACACGATCTTATTGATGGCGGATGATGATGAAAAATGCGCTGAAGTCCCTTCAGTCTCATACGAGGACTTTGATCATTTTTATTATCCATAGCACAGCACAATTTATCCACAACCCAGAGACGGTACTACAGAATTTAAGTAGTGACAGAATGCCGCCTGCTCATTTGTTGAGATTTGTCTGTAATTGGCGTGCAGATAAATCCATCTGTATGTAGCTCACGGCGGATCTGTACGCCGGACATGCTCGCATTCGAGTTACTCTACATTGAAAGTACACACACTCTCTCTGCTTCTCTTTAATGGGTCACTCGGCCTACCGTATACATTTTTAGGGGCTGTGGTCACTGCTTTAATAAATGTAGATCGACCCCTCACGCAGCAAATCCCGGAATCCATGTGTTCATTAAAATGATCAACCAATCTCTTGTTTCAAAGGACGATTATCGCCAAACAACCGGAAGAAGAACTTTTAAACCTATATATTGGCTCCGTACCCGCACTGTGTTCGATGTGGGTGGAATGCAGAAACAGCAGCAATCTGCCATCTACAAATTTTAAACTTCCTCCACGCACTACATATTTTTGATAGCAATATAGCATATGTGTTCGACTAAGTTTTATGGTTGAATAGATACATCTTTGTACAAAGTTTCAATACGAATTTCTGTTAAGATGCAAAATAAGTACACTGAATTGCGACATTAGTGTTCCTTTTGTTTCTAAATCTTTACAGTGAGACAAGTTTTCCTTTTTATATTATTAATGGAAATATGGGAGGTCCCCTTCCCAACACGTTGATGAAAATACATGTATGTTGATTGGGTACCCAGCTTCTATATTATAGTTTGATGATTTGTAACTATGATATTATGAAACGGTAACTATGTTATTATGACGTACTTAACAGCGAAATTGACCGCTACATTAAGTAGATAATTACAGCCATGTTTCGATAAAATATTAAACATAAAAGAAAAAAAAATAAATATGAAAATTGGAATTCAGCGCAATGCAGTGACCGGTTAATAACTGAATTCGACTTGATTATGAGAACTGGGCAACAGAACATTCTTGTCTCGATCCGTGTATTTTAGGGGTTTTTGGGGTATGCGTTGGTTTTCGTTTTGAAACTACTTTAAGAGGTAATGGCAGGTTTCCATAAAATTTGACTTACAAAACTTGCGGTACACATGTTAACGATGTTGCTATTCTCTTAAAATTTAATATTCTTCTTTCTAAATTCGATTGAAGACAGAAACACTAAAAATCGAATAATTTATCAGCATACTCTCTGGTATGAGTAAACGTTTGTCATTGTACAAAAGGTATGATTTTATTAGCTTTTGTGGGATGGATTTAAAGTCCTAAAATTGAGAGAGGGGGCATTATAAAAAATAGATCACATTTATTATTTATTTATTGTTTCTGACATCCGAAAACTTTTGTAAAATATGTAGGCAGCTATATAAAGAATATTTCTGTTACGCTGGGCAACAGAAATATTTGTCAGGAAGGAATGTACTGCCTTGAGCGCACTGTTCCCTGCAATCCAAATTATTTAATAAAAAATGTACGTTTCGTAATAGCAGAAGTCTTACTTACCCTAACACTTCATTATCTAGACATGTAGCTCTGCAAGGGCATTCGTCGGCACTAACAATTTCAGTGATAAAAAAAACACTAGCAATGAGCATAAACAAGAAAATTCGACTCATGCTTGATATGTTGATAAGTACAGCACTGACAATGTATAGAAATCCATGCGCTTTTATAGCTGGCAGTATCCATTGATTAGACGATTAGCAACAATAGATAAAGCATTTTGTACATGCCAGGGGTGCTCATAAAAATATTCACTTGAACTATAAACCGCTTTGAATCGAAGGGGCCTAACCCTGGCACTTCTAACTACATTCATGAAAATGAAATCGATGAGATCATGAGAACTGGTCAACTCAACATCCTCGTACTGTGGTCTGATAAATTCATTTTTTCAATATGCGATGGTTTTCGTTTTAAAACTAGTTCGATGGGTGTCCCCTCCAGACCATTTTGCTGAACTCCTTGAATGTGTACCACAACACATGTTTTGTAAGTCAAATTTTGTGCAAATTTGCCATTAGTTGTCCAAGTGATTAGTGAATACAAATTTTTTTAATGTGCTATACCGCACTGCTTTCACTACTTTCGGGCTACATTGACATTTTTTCGCAATTTAATTAATAAAAGGCTCAATTATTATCTACGTTTAAATATTAAAATTGAAATATAGTTATAAGTAGACAATACGATATTAATTTGAATCAAGGTTTTATTTTTATGTAAGTAGCGCTAATTGATTATTATTTGTACCCTTTAGTAGAAGTATTTACTCAACTTATCAACGAATCTGGTACAAAACAATACGACCTATAAGATTATGAAAAATATATCCATTTGTATAAGAATTTCTGTAGTTAATGGCATAATCAATACACGTGCGATAACACACATCACACATTGAAATAATATATCTAAAAATGCCTGAATCTAACCACACTAATTGCTTCACACTTTTGCAATACATTACATTTCTAAAAAAACCACTGCAACGAATTGTGGAGTCTGATGCAAAATAGCATATGATAAGGCAAGCATACCATTCTTGGCAATGCGTACCTTCCACTAAATTTGGAGATGTTTTTCTTCAAATTGGCGATTAAACCTCAAATATGTTCTACTCGTACATGGAGGCACTTTTAGGTCTGCCTCCACTAGATCTCCAAGGGAGAGAGCAGGCTATTCTGGCGTCCGTGCATTTAAAAAACTAAGGGATTGTATTGGGGTGGACCACTCTCGAATTCTGGGCGAGGCGATTAACTATCCTAAAAGAGAGATCTGACTCACCCACTGCTCAATTCATATTAAGGAAAACTATCACATCTTTTTTGACGAGGAAGTGGTATCCCAACCAGACATATTCATCTTCACGGATGGATCTAAATCAAGGGAACAGGAATTTACTCCAAAGGAGTAAACTTCCATGGCTCAGTGGTAGAGCGTTGGGCTATAAATCCGGAGGTCAAGTGTTCGAACCAGGGTTGAGGTGAATTTTTCATCTGTGGCAGAGATGGCAGAGATCAGTTTCGAGTATTCTGCCGGCTACTCCGAATTAGGTTTTCCTGCAGTTTTCCTAATTCGTAAGGTAAATACCGGAGTAGTATAGAACAACTTAAGACCGCCTGCAGAGGCATATCTAAAAAAAGCATTATGCAGGTCACTCTGTAATTGGGCACAAGCCTATTGCGAATAACAAGAGAGGGATAATAAATAAATGTCATCCAAACACTATGCAAACTTCTCAGTAAGAAGTAAGTTAGTAAGAATTGGTCGGCCCAACGCTTAGTGCAAGAAAAGTTCTTAAGGGTAACATAAAAAATAAAACTCAGAATCTCCAGTGACAGAAGGGCTGCCCTGCAGGCTGTTGGTCGCTGTAAAATTACCTCTAGGTTAGGTTTCCGAATGGCAATAGAGCAAGTAGCAAGCACCCTTGAACTTGTATGCGTCAAAGGGCATGCTCGGACGAAAGGCAATAACAAAGCCCATGAGTTAACCCGACTGACCTCAAAACAGGTGTTTTATGGTCCGATCAGGTACAGTTGGAACTGTAAAAAGCTCAGGACACCCAACTCCAGTACAGGGCAAGATGGAACTTGATGTTAGATTGTCGCCATGCGGAAGAGGCCTTCAAAGAACCATCTCGTAGTTTGGCGTGTTTTTGCACGGGTTGAGTAAACTTAAACGGCCCACACACGTTACAATTTATCGTTACTATAGCAGTTTAGACGAATATCGTACTACGACTACTTACAATGGTAATTAGGGATTGAACTATTATAATTACATATATAAAAGGTTATTGGCTGAACCTTTTAGAAGTACCTAATCAATAAAAAAATTAACATTTTTTATGATTAGCAAAATACACAACCCTTCTCATACGTAAGAGTTAAATCAGAGAGAATTTGTATAAAAAAATCGTAATTTAGTTGCGGTTGAATTATTTTAATTGCGTATAAATGTTTGGTGTAACCAATCAAAGAACTAAAATTTTTAATGCTACGCAAAATACACAACCCTTCTGAAACATTAGACCTAAATCAGAAAGAATTTTATCTAAAAAAATTCGTAATTTCGTAACGGCTCACGGTTGAATGATAGTAATTGCGTATAACTGGTTGCTACATAAAGCCCTTAACAGTAATTAATAAAATAATTAAAGTATTTTATGCTCCGTAACATACACAACTCTTGCCATGAGTGCTACATATATAAGAGTGAATTTTCTTTTAAATAAATGCATGTTCTTATACGATATTTAATTTTGGGAAAGCTGAATTCCTCGGTATCTACAACGTCTCCCTTTTTGTAGATTGGCCGTTTTTAAATGGCTAAATACGCATGCGATACACAAAAAAACGAAATTAAAGATGCGTTACGAAGGTTAGAGAACGCAATCCAAAATGCAGATATTTAGATATGACTTAAAAATTATCCGGGCTTTTAATGATGAAATTGGATGACCACTAGCAACTGGTGAACACCGAAACTGAATGTAACGAAACCGGAAGAAGCTTGACTTTTTTGCTATAAAAAGTCACGTGAACATATTGAGAACGTACATACGTAGAAGTACATAAAGGGACGTGGGCAAGACAACGTGCCGGAGAGAATGGAATATCTGCCGAAATCCTAAAATACGCTGGAACTACTTTGCAAAAACACATAATCCGAGCATATTCAGACGAGATTGTGGTTATTGTCCGATCTGAGAAAAGGTTCCAAAAAGTTACAAAATGAGGCGGAAAGTTTGGTCCAAAAATTAATGAATAAAAAACAAAATTTATGCAAAATCAAAAGAGAGAAGAGGGTGGAAGTTTATTAATATAAATTTAAAAAAAAAGGAGTGCGGCTTTGAACAACTAAATTCTTTTAACTATCTGGGTGCCATAATAACAGACAAGGGTGAAGAGAAGAAAGAAATACATTATAGACTGCTAAAAAGAAGTAAAGGTATGAGGACGATATTCAAAACTAAAAGCAAAATATTTATTAAAGATCAAAATACGCTCGTTTGAGACTGTGATACTCTGACTTTATGGCAGTCACGAAGAGGACCGAAAGTATACTCTGAATATATGGGAACGAAAAGTAATTTCTCGCTTTTGTTAATAATCTGAGACTATTAAAGATTAAGGATTGTTCAGTCCAAGACGGACTATTGCTCTCTTGCGTGCTATCAATTTTGTAACTGCAACAAGACCAAGCTTGAACTGAACAGTGAAAGTTTTGGTCCCTTGAGATTAACACGGATTGTGTAAATGCTCCTGTTTAAATTTGTTGACTATTGTTTGATAGTACCAGTAGGTTATAACGTTATAACTTAATTTCGCCCTACTGCAAACGTTCGTATACATTCACCAGATGGTGGTGTAATAAGTTAGAAGTTTGCATATGTTACGTGCTTGTGTTTATTCCCGAAACTTACCTTATTAAATTCATAATTTAGGTGTATTAAAGAACAATAATTGTATCACCGACTTTTGAAATTTACAAGAGTATCCTATCTTAGGGTTTGTAATTTGTCTAAATAAAGCTTTTCCAGTCACACCAGATTCTTGTAACCCCAGTAATTTAAAATGTTTGAAACTGTCAACACACGAGATCATCACTTGCTTTGACACCTACGGAAATAGACAATTTGTTCAAATATTGCAACCCTTTCATCTCTCTTATGGATTCAGTTCAGTAATTCCCATCACGTAAAGGGAATGTGATCGATACAGTGTTGGTACGTGACAAAGCGATAACAATAAGTTAATGCTACTATACTACCATTGCTTTATGAGAAAATACTTGTGTTCAATATGTGCCCCCTCAGTGGTGACAAGTACGACTAACTACATGTATAGGTAGAACAAATGCTGCGTACGTTAAATTTATCTACAAGATAAATGTGAGCGTTGCATTCATGTAATTTACGTGGAATATTGTAAATCACCCTAGCCCATTTCAAATGGAGATGATTAATTAACAGGTTTTCCGAATTAGATAGTGTCAATACAATTATGTATTTGCTTTAGAATGTATTACAGGAGCAGAAATCGCTTTGATCTGGAGGATTTCTTGGGACATAATGGGAATGCTACGCAATTCAAAAACAATACTTATCTAAGAAGTATCCCAAACTCGGTAGACAAAGGTACAATAGATTTTAAACTGTAGTTGGTAAGGTAGCGTTAGCTGAGACCCGCTCACTTGAAGGCAAATAAGGTAACAGAGTTGGCAATAAAATCGATAAAAGTATGTCGATGAAAGGAAGTCTTTACCACCACCACCAGAAGTATACATCTAAATCAATAGCCCTAAAATCTAGCAGCCAGTAAATACCACTTTAGACAAATTTTCCATTTTGCAGGAAATTCTCGCACTTTAAATGATATGGTACAAAACTGCATTACGGAAAATTGTGCACTAGTGAGTGGCCGTCCAGAACTCTAGTCAGAATTCTACAAAATACATTTGCATTTCTCTAGACCCCCTCCCCCGAAAAGTATCTGCGAATTTTAATTTAGAATGACGTTTGGTTCTGGTTAATACAACGCAGGGCCGGTGCATAGAATCCTATAGCGAGTTATTACGGGCTTTACTTTAGATAGGTACGTGTTTACGCTTCTCTTACAAATTTACAATACCTCTACCCTTCGCCCTTCGGTTAAATATCACTAACAGTTCATGGCGAAGAATTCTCTGCAATCGCAAATATTTCAAACATTGCATACCTGATTCAATTAAATCTATTCATGTCGAACTCCTTGAATACTAATTTTTGACCTTTTCTCACTGCCTGGATCAAGGTTATTGTTTTTCGAAAATGTTCTGCTTAATTAAATTGAAACGCTGGCTTTCTTAATCCACAGTTAGACCTTTGAGTATCAACCAGCTCATTAACGTTTCAGAGGTCATTAGGTTTGTCGACTACTCGGAGGAGCTTATATTAAAAGTACATCGCTGCAGTAATTTTCTAAGATCCGTTTGTTGGAACTACAGTTAATCAATAAAAAGGTCACAACTATACCACGTTAACGAGTCAAACGAAAAAACGAATTTACACTGCGCTAACGAGGAGGGTCATAAATATCGTAAAATTTTCCGTCATGTAATTTATGTTTCAGTTTTGCCTTTTGTGTTCGGAACACGAAATGCGCAAATTCTAATTCGAAAATAATGTGTACGTGATATAGTCTCTGAAAATATTATTAAGTAGAGCCGAACCGCCTTTAGCCCCAAATTGCGTGACTTCTAAAAGTGGTGTGGCATTTTGTGAAGATGTTTGAAATGAATGCGGATCGGTTATGGTGCCGGAGCTGAGGGAATACACATGACACTGCGTATATTTACTGTCGTGGTAGGTTACACACATTATGAGAAACTGTATGCCAGTGCAGAAGTTTAGCGAAATTTATACATTCGTTATCATATTCTCACTCATCCCATAGTACCATTAATTTAGAAGCCCTATTGCGAATAACCGCTCAGTGGCAGTAAAACTCACGCAACTTGGCGACATTAGAATTGATCTACATCACATTAAATTTGCTTTGTATTTTAGGCGTTGCTTGTACATGCCAGTCGGACTATCGCATAATGTATAAAGACTTTTACTATTTGGGGTCTGATTCTATTATAAACAAATTAACTATAATTTTACCTTTTACAAGAAGACGCGGATTTCAGTGAACCGCTATAAATAAAGAGGGAGGAAATGGTCGAGTTAGAAGTATCCCCAAAATGGTCTTTAGCTTTTCCGTTCCACTTAAGTGTCTTCCAAGAAATAGTCAAGTCATAACTATAAATGCCCCCCACAAGAAAAATACAGCAAAATATATTGAGCGTCACAATTTCTCCATCTATCTATCCCGCTGCTACAATTAACTCTTAGGAGTAGTATATTAATTATATGTAGAGGACTATGAGCTTTACAATTAAACAAGCGATGTTAAATTGCCTTATACAAATCAAAGTGATGGATGTGTAACATTTCATCTCTCGAAGTAACATCGAGTTACTAATAGGGCTAAACGTATTAGAGCGCTTTGTGTACAAATTCATGTATTTTGCCTGCTCGCAGACAGCGTAAATAATTATTGCAAATGCTTTCTCCGCAACAAAAGAACATTTCTTGAAATTGTACATTAATTTCTACTTTCTTGGATTAAGGAGAATAGTTATTTACATATGAGTATGGTAAATCAAGGTTTACGTTAACGAGTGAGATGTTTACTACCGAAGCGTAGCTGAGGCAGGAATTTCGAAACGAGTAACGTAAACTGATTTGACACACAAATAAACGTGTAAACAAATATAGAAAACGAGCTCCTGTGTATGGCTGTAGCATGTGCAAAGCCAAATTTTGAAACTGGCGTTAAATTTTCTTTTATTCCAAGTGGCTATGTATCAAATTTTAAGGCTTCAAATTCAATGGCACTTTCAATTTTATCCTAATAGACAGAAGAAGGGGGGCGAGTGAGTATATAGGCAGTTGAAAATAGTACGCGGGGAAGGAACGTGAGCATTTTTGCCTGGCTCACAAGTTGTATCCGTGCTAGTTGCAGTTAAATCGTCGCGCATTGCATTTAGCGATCGAAATTTGTTAATTAAAGCATTTTCATACGCGGGGATCATCGTCCATTATATAAGTAAATAAATAAAATTTGTGGAGTAAAGCGAGGGTGCTTATACACACATTGGAGTACTCTTGCGTTAGTGGAAAGCTCGTAAATAAATGTGACTAGAAGCAAGATCTAGTCCATTAATTGAGTTCGCCATGAAAAGGAAATTTTCCATTAGTGAATGTATTGTTAAATTAGCCTGCTTTTTTTAAAACAGCTGACGTTGTTTTGTAAATGAATGATTGCATAATCGATACAAAAATCGAAACTATTTGGTGAGCATTCTGGAAGAAAAGAACGGCATTACATCGAACTCAACCCCGAAGGCGTTGGTTTGTACGCAGTTGACATCCAGAAAGTTGATCCGATTCAGCAATAAAGACAACTTTATTGAACTTCAATGAATAAAGGTACACACTGTTTTATAGTCTAATTATTTCCGCTTCTCTTCGAATTATCGTGAATTATTGAACAACTTTCATCACGTCTATTTTAGTGTGTACCGGACTATCCATATAAACGTTTATTTCGTAAATTAAATCTGTTTGTTTAATAGTTATTTATGCAATGAGTGTATAAATGAGGCGTTTTATTCATTAGTGAGATGTTTAGTTCACGAGCGTAGCGAGTAGACTAAAGTCGAACGAATCAATATATCACCGATTTATTATACATGAATTGCATACGTTTTTTCGTCTACCTCGTTGGAGTAGATCAGATTATCGTTTTACATTATTTTCTAAGATAGGTTTCATTATTTGAATTTGTTTTCAATCATTAGCTGTTGCTAATCACAATAGATGTATTCCATTTGAGAAAAAAATTCTTGTAATTTTAATGACAGATGTAACGTACCTACAAGGGGAGTAAAAAGAGTTTTTTTAGTTCAAAAACACCCCAAATTGGTTGTTATTTCTCCAAAACATATTGGAGTATCAAGTTTGAGATCATCCAAACATTTCTAGATTTATTAAAGGCATTCAGCTGGAGCAGAGCTTACATGAACATCAAATTGAACAGTATGTAGAAGCTTTGGGAGGCCCCCCTACACGTAATAAATACTGAGATTGTGCAGGGCGGATTGCAAGTCTGGTAAATAATTACGATCATGCAAACACTTATAAATTCTTAAGGGGAATACCACATAATTTATCGTATGAGTATAAAAGAAACACATAAAAAATCAAATACATAAATAAATTAAAAAAGATAAATATAAATCAAAATAAATTGTAAAAAAATATATAAAAATAAAAAATCTAATTAAAATGACAAATTGGATGTTTTATTCGTTTTAAACACGCCAGAGGTACGGTGCCAGTCCTAAGCCTGCATAAAGTGTGGAGGGAACATGGAATAAAACATCTATTTTGTAATAATAAATTAATTAGCGAGATAGCTAGGTCGAACACAATATGTTTCGGGAAATTGTCCATTCGCGCAATGGTCCTAGACTTGAAAATTGCAAAAGTGGGAAAAAATGTGTAGTATATTTGGAACTTATTCGCAAACGATGGCCTAAACGAAATTAATTTCAACATAAGTTTGGAGCAATGTGAAATTGCGCTATTCCGCGGTTCAAAAGATCACACTGTAAATATTCATATGTTGCAGTTTACGCCCTAACTAAAAGGGATCGGACGTACAGAGAGAATAGGTTGAGTAAATTAGGAGAAATGTACTTATCATATCTTAAACCTCGTTTTGGACTTGCCCATATTGCATAGTTATTGTGCTATTACTCTTCTTACGACGAATTTAATGAATTATTGATCAATTGCGAGTGTTTTAAAATTACTTAGATAAATGACTTAAGAAGTAGATTTATACATTCAGCCGCGCCAACGTTTTGAAAAGCCATATTATAATGTAAAACTCATGTTTAGCGAAATTGTAATTCTTAATCTTTGGTTTTAACTTCAAAGATAAAGCAAATTGGGTACTTACTTCTTTCGATTTTAGTCATGCTGAGCTCGTTATTCCTCCGCCATCCCTTGAATAGGTTCCTCGGGAAAAGAATATGTAGTAATCCACCTTCGGGTTTAATTTTCCGATTTCGAAAAGCCTTAACTTGCACTTCCGCATCGGACGATCGACAGCTCGACGTCGATTCGTCCTCGTAGCTGCTAATACTCCTTTTATGAAAGGACAGACATCCACAGCCCTTGGACTTTCTAAATCCTCTCATCTTGCGCGAATGCAACTGAAACAAAATTAACATTTTCAATATGTACTCCATTATGCGAAAACGAATTTATTTTTTTTAGCACGTGTATATCAAGCGATAAATCTTTAGCATTATATAACTTTTCCCGCATTGGATGTATATACCTTGGAGAGTTTTTTGAAAGGAATATAGTAGATTACGAAAAGTAAGTGGATTTCTGTAACTCAAACTCACAAAAAGTGTTATGTTTGCAGGAGTTCCCAGGGGGTTAATTTAGATCTTTGAATTGCGTATTTCCTTCAGTTTTCAGTTAAATTGCAATGGGGTGCTCTCAAACTTTTCTAAGGCAAGTCGGTGTTCAGCACTGATCGCAATTGAATAATTTATTATTTATTCAATAATTGATAAAGATAGAAATAGAGTTTACTCATTCATTTCCAAGTTTTCTAGTGCGACTGCATGTCATCTCGTTACGTTTCTATGCCGCGGTCGGCACGTAATTTAAATTTCAAATTGAAGATTTTAACGTGAGTAGTTTGATTCATCTTTAAATTACTTAAAACGGCGCGCATTATACAATTCAAATTTATTTCACTAATGAAGATGTTCTACATTTTTATTCAAAGTTGTATAGGTGAACTAAATCGGGGTTTGTTTGTGAGCAAACGTTGGAAAAAGTGCCTGAGATCAGCATCCCCAGATTTGGTGCACTCATACGGGGTGTCTCTGCCAAACGCTTGAACCTATTTAGTTCTAGTAATAAGCCTATTGAAAATTGGTCAAATTCAATTACCTTGGGCTCACGCCTCTTCGTTCTGCCAAACGCTTGAACCTATTCGGTTCAAATTTTGCACAGTTGACCTACATGCTACATGTAACAAACCTATTGAAAATGGGCCACATCCAATGAGCCCGCCCGTAGGGTCAAACCGAGGTGCTCCACCGCTTTTTTAGATCCGCTTTAGGGGTTTATTTCAATTTTGGATGATGCAAAAAGGGTGACAGCACAACTTTTCGGCCTAAGATAGAATATCCTGGGAATTAATTGCCAAATTCCAACAAGACCTTCTAAATGACTAAAAGTTACTTGCAAACCTTCTTTTGATAAATCTCTTCAAAGATCTTCTTTCTTAGCTTTAAAAATCCTTTAGAAACCTTCTTAGAAGCTAGAAGTGATATTAAAATTACTATCAAGCTGGAAATCATGAATTTAAATAATGGAGACCTCCAAATCCCTTTCGCAGTTTTAGAAATCTTTGTAGAAATTTTAACGAAATCCTAATGAAAACTGGTAAAGATCTTATTAGAAACGTTTTCAATAATCCTTTCAGAACCTTACAATCTTAAATATCATTTTTGAGATCATGCTTGAAATCTTTACAGAATTAACCAAAAATTTTATTTGACCATTCCCAAAAAGAAAGACGTTAGTTACACGGTTCTACTACTATTCGATGTTTGAAGCTTATCAACAGCCACTTATTAATTGCCTAATAAATTTATCGGCGGTAAAAGATTATAGTGTTAGTAATAAAATACGATTATTTATCTCTATACAAATGTTTACGAAAACACGACCAATTTACAATCAGTATTTTAAATCTTAAGTTAAATCTCTGCCTCCTTTGATAATTCGCTTCTCTTGTTTTCGAATTAGTATTACGTTCATCGTACTGCGCCATAAAAAGCACGGTTGTTTTTGTGGCCGTGCCGCGCCTAAATAAGATCCCAAAAGCCCATTACTATCCATCTAGTCTCAGAGAAGAGAGAATGGTACCTATGCGCCAAACCCTCTGAGACATCTATAACACACTAATATCCAATTTCACAAACGATGATTAAGACTAGTCACTAATCAGTGATTAATGTTTCCTCTCTGGTCACATATACAAACAATTACGTTATACTGTCAAATTCGCTGTTTCATCTTTTCATTAAATATATTTACGCCCAAAAGGTTCACTCAATTCCTTACTTTAAAGGGAAAACTTGGGACGAAAGAGTACTTGACAAGGCAAAGAGCGCAAAACCGTCTACTTCACATCATTTCAATAGGACCACCGTCTTTATTTCAAATAACATTGACCTACATGGAGTAACCGATCACGATTAGAAAACGCCTCTTCAAACTCATAAACCCGTTTATAACTCGAAGTAACACTCAATAAAATTAAAATCAGTCATACATGTATCGCAACTTTGTAAAGTGGGTAATATGGTATACCGCAGCAGTGGGGACAATTGGCAAACCTTCGGGTAGCATCCAATTTAGTCTTTCATAGGATTTATATACGTCGACGTCTAAAAAGGGGGTAGAAGTACAGATACAGAACAGAACACCCTTACTATCATCAGGACTGGGCAATATCCCTACCAGCCAACCATAAAGCCGATATAAAATTTATTCTTCTTAAATTTTATATACACTGAAGGGTGATATGATATATTTTATTAATGTGTAGATTTACGTATCATCTATTATACAAATTCGCAAATTTCAGTTCTCACAGCGTAACATAAATTTGAATACAAACCGGAAACTGCAGTAAAATATTTATGACCGTATACATGCAAATTGTTTTAGCAGTATGGATGAAAACTGACATCCTGACAAATAACCTAATATATATATCGAAAAGCTTCGTATGAATCGATCATCCAACTTTGAACTAAGCAGAATAATGCATTTGGACGTAACGTAAACTTGGATAGATTTGCACAGTGGTTGTCCTAGTTTAGTCAGTGGTAGTTCGATTAGTCTGGAAACTAATTTGATTGTGCACGCGTGACATTATTTAGTCATGAAGAGGATAAACGTAACGACATTTTCCGCAAAATAAAGCATGTTTTTGTAAAAATGAGTAACAATGTCATTAAGATAGTGACTTATCAACGTTAGCATTGCTTCTTCGACAAAATTTTCCTCAACCGTGTTTAAAAGATTTCGAAACAGAAGGCTTAGGGGACATAATCCTATTGACGTTTGTGTAAAACGCACTCGTGGATGTTGCCGCGTAACGCAACTATAAATGGCGAGTAACGGACAAATATAAACCATAAAAGCTAACAGTTAGCGAAAACTCGAAGTCTCTAGGTGACCCAGGGGCCGAGACCCCAATGGAAGAGACAGACAAACAGACAGACAAACGATGGAAAATCGAGCACATAAGTGTTACCTCAACTTTCGTTGTGTTACGCTAAAAATAAGATATTTGTTATCTATTCATTATGTTCTAATTTAGCAATTTTGTTCAAATAATTACTATACGTGAAATCATTTGATTTGTTTTGACAGTCGTTTAAATGAAACCCTAGTTAGAAATGCATAAAATCTCATACATGCATTTTTTTCTATTTGGTAAAAATGGATAGTTCAACTCTTTCATATGAAACAGTCCGCAAGTAGGTGAACGAGTTAAAAAAGCGATCTCGACTTCAGCTGAAAGATGGCATCTTCGAAAACACTTCTTGCAAATATTCATAGGATGGGAGAATAAACCGTAGAAATCTCTTTAGGACGTTTTTGGTACCTAATAACCTTAGTAAAAGTATTTTGGGGAAGCTTTCAAACAAATTAACAAGTTCTAGGCTTTTCTCTAATTGAAATAATCATGGGAATGAAGATGCAGTTCCTAGAAAACTCGTCCGAAACCTTCCTGCTACCCTCCAAGGTAATTTATTATAATATGAGTACGAATCTGCCTTACACAGGTTTCTCAAAATTTTTTTTCAAGCGATCATCCTAGAAACCACCCAACAAACTTTTTAGATAATTTTACTTTGAAATTTTTAATAACCGTGAAATTCATTGAAAATAATAACAGCAGGACCAATATGGATTGGATGGCTAAAATTTGATTAGTGCGTCTGGATTAAGTCATAGCTAACTTCCTGATCGTTTTGTCGTGTTTTCAAACATATTTTCTATTTCGACATCCTGAGTGTCACGCGCCCATAAAAGGTTTTGCCAGTTCGTAATTTGTTACATCAATGTCATGCAAATTTGTCCACACTCGCGTGATACAAATAATTTATTATGGGTTTGTGTGAAATTCACACGATCCCTTATTTCTAATGGATCAGCCCGCAAATGATTTCCCTTTGCTATAAAGTCGATTCTCGCTCATTTCATTCATAGTGAAATATAAGAAATAATACTAGTTTGAAAAGGAGCAGAGTGCGTTACAAGCACTTTAGACTGGTGGACAATTATCCTTTTTCCTTCGGAAGGATGTTTCTGATGTTGTCCATTTTACCCTTCGACGAACATTTCGGACACATCATTAAAAGGAAACAGTTACTTTGGAATATCGCCAGCTCAAGATACTACTGATACTACTACTAAGAAATACGATATACGCACTAATTACGATATTTGGTAATTATCGCCATCCTATGCACCTTGAAATAATATGTGACATACAATGCATGACTACTATTTAATTATCTGTACATGTTATAATGATTTTTAGAGACTATGAAATCCTGCCTAGCATCCGTCTACGTTTGCATCAAAAACGTTTGTATTTATTAGTTCTAGTTCTTCTAGCTTTCATTGTATTCCGCTCTCTTCCGAGTGATAAATATGTAGTAGCTCATCTGTGAGTTACGCGCCACACATTTAAAAAACAAAGAAAAAATGTAGGTAAGGCAGGTCTCTACATGATCTACGCTAATGCAATACGTCATTGTTTTTTTGTGTGTCACGCGCTGCACTTCGTTTTTTCTTGCGTCCTTCTGTTTTAGTGTTTATTATGGTTTTTTTAAGAGAAGCAGGTTTTTTCTGTGTCGATAAAGAAACCGTCGAAATTCACGCTATTAGGAAGAAGTTGACCAAACTTTGAGATTAATTACAAACATATTCAATGGTGGTTTTCTAAAACCGTACGTCTTTGACGTTTCTCCCTAGTTATTATATTAATGACTGGAAGGTTTCATTATATGAAGCGAGTAGGATACCTATAAACCGCACGTCTTTGACGTTTTTTCCCTAGTTATTATATTAATAACAGGAAGGTTTCATTATATGAAACAAA